TTCAACAGGAATGCCATCAATGTTTTCACATCGTACCGCATGGTTTCTAGTAAGGTGACCTGTTGGTGTTGACGGTGGCCTTGTGTGAGCGGCAGCCATCTTGGTTGCCGACCACCTTGCCAAGGCAAAGGCAAAAACACTCCAAAACCCACAATAATAACGAAAACAACAACTATAAATTACTCACGTAAAAGGTAGACACACTATATATACAGCTGTGTAGAAACACGGGCACACAACGAGCGCAAAAACGCAAAACAGGCAGAAAATCGGGGAGCGCTGAAAAGCACCGCGTTCACCCGATTATATTATATTATAGCATTACCAATACCAGTGAATTTTATGCGTCACCATTCCAGATTATTGACGATAATGTACAACATTATTGAGTAAGCAGGCCCCAAAACAAGCATAAGTATACAATGTTATGTTCAAAAATGAATAAAGGCTTGGGTATTTAAAAAGAAGGGAAATTATGGGGTAAACAATTTACAAATTAAAAAATGGAACTAAATAATGGTGTGCTATATCATTAATAATGAATATTTTTATGATTTATACAACATTGTGGTTCCCACCCTGCCGAAACCGAGCGACACGGCGAGCAACACCGGCATTTTCAGTGTTTTCACCATGGCACGGTTTGTTGACGTTGGCGAAGCAGAGCTAGATACCCTTGAAAATGCGAGAAATGAGAAAAATACGTCATAGCAAACAAAATGGGGAGTGCGAGTGTTGCGAGGTAAGTAATTTTCTATTTTTTTGGGCATTTCTCGATTACAAATAGTAAAAATCCATGATTTTTGGATTACCGGCAAACCCCAGGTCAAATAATGAAAAAATGTCTCTAAATAAATCACAATCCTTACTATTTTGTATTTTTCTTTTACAGAATGGCTTGATTACAAAAATATTCATTAGAGTTTGAGTTGTGGCCAGTTGACAAGCTTTCCGAGCTGCTACGAGAGTTTTATGCATCGACTCGAAAGCAAGATGGAGAGAAGTATGGCAAATCATCGTTGTCCTGTTTACGGGTGTCAATCCACCGACACATCACTGGTCCTCCCTTTCATCGTAAGATAAATATTATGCATGACAGAGAGTTCCAGGTTGCCAATCATATCTTGTATGACATTGTGAAGACCTCGAAGAAAGAAGGAAAGGACACAACTACGCACAAGGAACACATCAACACCGGTGATCTGAGGAAGCTTTCGGCCTCTCCAGTGTTTTGTATTGCGACCAACGTCGGCTTGCAGCGAAAGGTTTGGTTCGACCTTATGTTGCATTTTGGTAGGAGAGGTCGAGAAGGAATACAGAATCTGACAAAATCGTCATTTGTGGTGGAGAGAGACGACATCGGCCAAAGATGTGTCAAATACGCATTTAACGAGAAAGTAAACAACCACGTTGGCGGTGCCGATGACAACTACATCGGTCATGCCCGCATGTACGAAACTTGTACTGAACGCTGTCCTGTAACATCATTTGAGAAATGCATCAGCCTATTAAACCCCATCAACAACTCGTTATTTCAAAGACCACAGTCCCCATTCAACCCGGATAATGCTTTTTGGTGTGTGAATGCGCCGATGGATAAAACAACGCTTAGAGCAATGATGAAGACATTGAGTAAAGAGGCGGGTTTGTTTAAAATCTATACCAACCATTGTATCCGTGCCACTGCATGTAAACTACTGGATGATGCTGGTTTCGACACTCGGCATATTATGTATGTCAGTGGGCATGTCAACGAAGCTAGCGTAAAAAGCTATTCGAACCAGCCTTCAACGCGCAAACAGCGACAACTGTCATCGTCACTTTCCGGTAGCCTCTACAGCGAAAACTATGAAACCAGTATAACATCCAGCATCACCCCAAGAATTATGTCATGTCATCCTACATCTGTTGACTCCTCTCCTCTCCCAATAACTAATGTTCAACATTCAAGAACTGTTTCAAATTCAGCGGTTTCCACCTCGTCTAGGCACAGTCTTTCAAGCATGTTCGTCAACTGCACGTTCCAAGCCCCTGTCAACATTGATTTTCACGGTAGTCCAACTTCTCATTCCATTTCAAGTACATGCCATAATGCCATCTCGAAAACAAAATTTTAACCTAATCTTTTTTTAATGATTTGCTTGTTCAATTTTAAAACCTATATAATATTAATTTTGTTCACATGTTTCTTGAGTATTACAACTACAACTTCCGGCATATTTTTACGTCGATCAAGTGTTACATTAATCAGCCGACGAAATTTTCCCTGTGCATTATCTTGATTTTGTATCCTATTCTTTCGCTTTCTTGTACATGCGTTCGTTCTTATAAATATGTTCAGATTTATTTGTTCTGACGAGATAAATAATATCGTAAGTCAAACCTTTCTTATTTTCATTCTATGCATGCAACTGCTGTGTTGTTCATCGCGCCCGAATGTTTTGTTGTGCGTATGTGTATATTGTATTCATATTCCCGGGCCCTTAATGGACTCAAGCGAATTTTATAACGGCATTTGTACAGATTATGCGCAATAATGTATCCCGTTATTGAGAATCAAACAAGGCTCCGTACCATGGATATAAATACAATGTTGTGTTCCGTAACAAATATAAGAGAAGTTATTGAAATTATGTGGTAACAATTTAATACTAAAATCATCATCAAATAAAGTTGTCCATGGCAAATAACAAAGAATTTCAATTTGAAATCAGACAATTTTGTAAGAACATCCGTCGCTGACCGATTGTGAACTTGAAAGCATTTCAAACGAGTTTGCCATTATCGAAAACGTATGACCCATACAATAATCACAAAGGACACGATTTGTGCTCAATTCTCATTTTTGAGCGTTTAAAACGTTCAAATATACGTTTTTTAGGCATGTCCTAAAATATATTTATTATATCACATATTATACATACACTGTATATCGTACAAAACATTACACAGTTTAAATTTATATACACGAAACACCACCATAAAAATAACACCAATGTATTCAGCATTATGCCCATTGGTGGCGCTATACTGTGCAGGTCCATATATTCGTATGGAACATCACACTGGTGTCAAAATATATACTTACAGTATTGAAAATTATCTTCTTGGGTTATAATTCGACGTATATTAGAAGCAAACATACGATTTCGCTGTGTCGTGATAATGCAAGGCATTCTAGTAACTAAACGCTTTAAGTAGAAAGGCCCTCAATGGATGAGAGCATTTAGTATTAGACTAAATGTCAACGATGTCAGTTGTCGGGTTAATACGCGGCTGCTTGACATTCAGCTTCAGAATTTGACCCTGGTTGCACAAAAATCCGAACAACTTTCATATTCCCCGATTGAAGTATCGTTAATACTGTAGTGTACCAACAACTCATCATTTGAAAAAAGCTTCGCGATATTAACAATGAATTAAAGATGGCGGCGAATATTGGACCTGGTTGACGTCAGTGCATTGAATGCTACGTAATAATATAATATAATATAATTTAATCTAATTTATACAAATAATATAATCTGTTTATGATCAGCAATTTGCGTATCTGATAGCAAGTGACATGCGAGCATAGTTGTCTATGTTTCTGGTCATGTAACTAAATCCATTAAATTGAGTCATCGTTTAGTATTACGTGTACCTGTCAGCTTGAATACACGCCACAGTCGTGTTCTAATTTCGGTGTATTTTACACGCGTTGTGTACGTCGCGTAACAACTGTGACACTTCAACTCTTTTATAAAATAATTCCTATAATTTAGTATTTTAAAAGTTTTTTTTTCAAAAGTCCTGTAAATCAGTGAGAAGTTATGACCATTTGGTCCATTGTGAAATTATAACAAAATACATAGAACTATGCAAATGATGTTTCAAAAGGTTAAAGGGCGGTGGACGTCTCGCCACGCATGCGCAAAATATGAGTCTCTTATTAACTAAGATGGTTACTTGGACCGTTGCGTAGAGCAATGAGTAGAAACTGAAACGTTACCAAGCTTTACCTACTAAGTAATTTCCTTGCTGATTGAAAAGTATCGAAGGAGTCATCGCTGGTACTTAGTGCACGTTGCTCCCAAATCAAAACTCATACTCGTGATTTCCATTAGAAGAGCGCATTGGATTGTGGGAAAATCAATGTTTATCAACACAAATGGCGCACATGCGCGGCGCAAAGATCACCACCCTTTAAATATGGCGCCATACGTACAGCAATAAGGAAGGTCGAAGACCCTGTCATGCATAGACGCGAGCCATGATACAATAACGAACCTTTACAACAAAAGAAACATCATTGCATTGCATTGTCAACATATAAGACATGCATGTAATAGTCAAAACTGTAATATTATCACAAATTGTCTGGAAGTAATTACATTATTTCTCAACGAGTTGCGGCAATTAAATCACACTAACACCCCCATTGTATGTTGCTGTTGCTTAAATACAATGGATTAACTTGTAATTATATCAAAGCAAGTTTGCGTACGATATTTAAAATTAACATAAGATATTCGTAAAGTAGATCACGTAAATATAATAATCTCAATATACCATGCCGCAGTTACTATATATGCTGCGTATACACATTCATTTCGTCAAAAAGGATTTCAGTTATTTTCTTGGCAAAACATAAAACTGTTGCGCAAAAAAGGACAGAGTGCAGATAAAAGTCCAGGGCATATAACTGTACGCGACAATGCGATAAAGGAAACTGTTGTTTTTCCTGTGTAACGTCCCTGAATTAGAATTCATTATTGCACAACTGCACAGACTCAATAAATATTCAATTTCATGTCAAAAGCTACTCCTTCAAAGTGTACCACTGCGCAACAGGCTTTCTTGGAGATCGAAGCATTTCCATCCAATGGTCCTGTGCCACTATTGAAACACCGTTGCCGATGATAACTTGGCCTATTACCTCACTCTGTTTTCCGGAACATTCCGAGTCACTATCCGGAAAATACCGATTACAGACGGAGATAATGAATCGAACTTTGTCCATTTCTTCCAGTGGTACATCAAAAGGTAGGGCTTCGTTAAAGATCGGATTTCGTTCGTTCTTACATACAACTGTCTTCTTCCGCTTGACTTTCTTCCCTCTATGTATTAACGTCACTTTAACGTACGGATCTGCATTGATAAAATAAAATTATTGTATCTTATTCTATTTTATTCTATTGTTTGTATTATGCTTTGCTGTATAGCATTGTAATGCATTGTAATAACATACCACAGTTCTCGGTTGTAGAAATATGGGGCTGGAGATTCTTGGCTTTCATCACAACTATTGAAAGACGTTCAGATGTCGGAAGATAACTGAGCGACAACAACATCTCACCACGATATTCCTGTAGGAAGATGGAAAGAATAATGTCAATTTCCAATGTATTAATTCTAAATAGGAATGTACCATTATATACGTATCTAAACACTTGAGATTAGTAACAAAAATGAGTAGCGTAACGTCTAGCGCCCTCGTACGTTCAATTACCTGTATACTTTCATTGAAGTCCATCCACAACACTTGTTCTTTGGAGAGTTCCATACCAGCTAACGGAAGTACCACTTCGCCTATTACATCGTGCCGTGAGTATTTGTCGAAGTCACAGGCTATGAATTTAACAGTATAGTAATCTTGGTCCTCTATCGGTATAGCTACTTCGAATTTCTCGTCGAACACGGGGTCCAGTGTTTTTCTGAGGACTTTGCTCTGGAAGTCATATTCAGTTGTGCGATCTGCAAGAAAAGTGCATGCATAAGGTTCAGCAAGACTGGTCTTTAGGAATAATATTGGGCAAGTGGCTATCAGTGAAAACCAATAGATTTTGCTAGTTAACGCGGTTTGAGCAATCGTTTACTTGTCTGCCAAAAACTGTTTGGGAAAATTCCGCCTTATTCGCCAACCACAAATAAGACGACTTACTTTGTCGTATTTTTAAATTGGGAACAGATCGCCCGCCTTAAAAACTACACACTTATTGTAAAATACTTTATTTTTGCTTGGAATTAATTTTCGCTGAAGAAGTCTTGCAGTGAAAAATAAAAATCCAGCGAATATACCTTTTTTCCCTGTATTTTACATTCAACTCGTCAAAAATCAGTGACCTAAACTTCAAACAAAACACCCAAAAAGTCTTTTCTGCGATAATTAATTCCAACTAAAATAAAGTATTCTACAGCATTTATAACAAGTGATCAAAATAGACCAAGAACATAACAGAGAACTGAACTGAGGATAGAACATAACAAACTAAGAAGAACAAACACTGAAATGTATAAATAAGAGAATAGAACAGAAAATATTTTGAATAGCCTTACCCCCATGCAAGTTTTCTCGTATTATTTTTATCCTGACATACGGGTCGCTTGTTCCACTGAACTCTTTAGGTGGCAGATCTTTCACTTGGAATAACATAATGAGTAAATGTCCCGTGTGTTGGTCGTGGCATAATGAGAACTGCACTGTTCCTCGGTGTACTCTTTCAGAGGATCCGTTCGAGAAAGCTGGATTCATCCCATGCGAGAGATCGGGTGCATTGTGATACTGCTGTGTCTTGAGACCACTACCATATTTACCGGTGCCATTGACTTTCTGGACGTTGAACTGAAATGACAAAACCAGCAAATATATGTACCACGGGCATATGAAAAAAGATACATGACAGTACATGATACGTTTATTCACTATAACCAATTGTAGAGTAGAAAACGTCGATGACGGCACCTAAATTATTTACTACTTGCTGAAAAATGATATGTTATTAGTGATATATTGCGCAATACAGAGACGAAATGTAGAGCCATGTTAATAAACAGCAATATACTTTACCACGGAATCAGAATAAAAAAATACTGATTTTTTTCCGATAACAACCTATTAGAATAATAATATAATGTCATATAATGATACACATCGTGGGAAACATATATGTAATACTATATAAATGCAATCGAGGTCTGCAGCTGAGATGTCATTGTTTTACTTGTACATAGTCGATGACGCGATACGTGTATGTTGTGCATCTACGGCATCATTGCAGTTGTAATAGTAGGGTATGTAAAGCTATCTTTTCTGTGTACTGTTTTTTTGTTTTCACTGCACGTTTCCTCATGTTTGAATTTACAATGTACAAACAATCCAACAAATATTCCACCTCAAATGATAAACTGTGATCACAAAATACAAGGTAGAAAATGCGTTTCAAGAAAAACAATTGCCATGGTCACCGCGACAGATTTCTGCTGTAAGATGTAGAAAAACAAGCTTACAAATGAGGTATGATTTTCCCCTTTGCAAAAACAAGGCAATGTGCTCATGGAACTGATTCCGTGCAGAGAATGTATTTAACAAAATCATTCACATTCACCTTTTTTTTTCTTAAATATCAGGCGTCTATAAAGATTAATACATTCAATTTGATATAACTGTCTGGTCTATTGTATAACATATATAAATAACTGCATAGTGGCATTGTTACATACGTGTCATGCCTACAATTTTGACCGGGAGATTTGCTGCGACAATATGGCAGCATATGCACTGAACAAATTGAGACAAGACCATGTAGCTCATCGTGTGATACAAAAAGCAGACATTTTATCGTGTAAGCAAGTTTAACAATGTTGATTCCCGATACTTGTTACATTTGACGCCCAGCCTTAGAAATTGTCCAACCAATGTTCTGCGACGATTCAATGGATTCATCATACTCGTGGGATGATGGACTGTTAGTCTGAGAGTAGACGTGTTTGTAGATATTGTAGATTATTGGTGAATAATCAGTGGCCGAAATAAAATCTGGACTTCCAAAATAGAGTCTTTTAATTGCACATATGACGAATGGTTAATCTCTAAAGTATCATGTGTCCTCACCCATAGGGTCATACTATTACAACTATAGTACTCCGTGCATGCCGCGTTCTATTAACTATCATGGAAGTTGAACCGAGTAATGAAATATATTGCTTTGTACGATTCCACTGATTGGGTTCAAACTTTTGCAAGACCCTAAATTACTACATGCGGCGGTACAATTACAATCAGTAAGACAATCTCGACGTTTTTGACTACCGTAAAGAAAAATGTATCTGATGGTGTAAAGACCTGTCTGACATTTGTAATTACATTTGTACAGTCATTTGCATACATACGACCACTCATCAGTTATAACTGAATCCTAATAGGATCTACGTACAAAAAAGAATCAAATCCTTATAGACATATTTCAGAATATCAATTAAATAACTCAAGCGTGTAATTAATGTGCCTGTATTATGTGTATATATGAAATCTACTAGTGGACTTGAACATGTCCCCGATGGTAATCATATCTGGCTAGGCAGTACTGATCCACGAATACTCGGTTTTATGTGCTAGAAATTGTCTATTACATCAGTTATTCAGCTTGTGTGTGTTCTTTCAGCCAATATGAGTCCGCGTTTATTACTCGATATTTCGGGCAGTGTTTTTTTAAAAGGTCAGTATGGCGTGGATTACTTTATAACGAAATGTATTCAATATGCACACCGATATTATCATTATTAACGATTGCCCGATTGCCCCGCCCCCTAAATACAATTCCGTGTGTTTAATCATTTGGAGGAAAAAGAAACCTTTTATAAACTCTAAATATATACAACAACTTGAAGCCCTAGTTTATTGAACGAGCTGGACAATGTATATCCCATGAGGTGGAGATATTTTTGTGAAGGTGTGAACAATTTTGAATTTTCGCTAATTCGAGAGTTGATGAGAAGAATGTACTTCCTTGACATGATCGATGTGATTCGAACCCAAAAGTCAAGTCAAGTTTAGACAAATTCGGCGACATTCTACTCCAACGGCGTCAGCACGTAGGACGAATCATGTGAATACAACACGATAGTCGCCATGTAACATTTGACGGTTGCTTGCCGGGTCCTTGTTACAACTGTCCGAAGACAATATTTGAAATATCTTTCAAATCTGTGAGAGAAATCTTAAAAGATGATTCAGTATTTGCCATATACGACCTCTGTTTGGCGGGAATATTAGATTAAAGTCTAATATCGCCAAACACGTGGACAATTATCCCCTCAGTGTACGGGTAACTATGGAAACCAGTGTTCAGCAGAACTGTTTCCCAGGATGTAACCTCCTATTGAATTTCCTGGCTAGTTCATCTAGTTGATAACTAGGAGACACAGTATCAAATTACCGCTGTATTATTTTGAAAGATTATCTTGGAGAAACATTTTTCGAGAGTTGAATAGAAGAATGTACTTCCTTGACTAATGAACATGATCGATGTGGTTCGAACCCAAAATTCAAGTCAAGTTTAGACAAATTAGGCGACATTCTACTCCAATGGCGTCAGCACGTAGAACGAACATTGTGAACACAACATGATAGCCGCCGAATTGTTAACGAATTTTAACATTCAAATGCAGAATATTGAAAGTCAAAGTAAAGAAAGAGACAGCCAAAGCGATTACTATAATTAGCAGAACAATATTATCATTACAGATGCAGAAACCACAGCGATAATTCACCTGACTCGATCGGGTCACTGACTAGATCACGTAGGCAGGTGACTACAAAATATAAAACATATTCCTTTCAATAAAAACGTTGAAAACAGAATAAATATTTTTTTTGTACTGTAACAGCACCGCTGAGTTCACCGGTGAATACAAATCTTCATATAACCCTCAGTTGAAGGTAATAACTTATTTAGCAAATGACAAATCAGTCAATCAACTTTGTTGTGTTTATATAAATTTAGCTGTATGAGACCATGCCATTAGTTTTGTTTACGGCAAAATGTAGCTAGGTAATAACACAGTTATTGTCTCTAGCTTATTGGCCCCATGCGAAGTCAATATCTGTGTAATATTGACGCTTGTATAATGATCAAAATATGTACGATCCATAATATTGATTATTAAATGAAAAGACAAAACTCATTTTTAACATACAATTATAGCAAAATGCTGCACCACAAACCGTTCAGAGACATATAAATTTGACTTGCCACTCTACTCACGAATTGAGTTATCGTATTATGGTAGCATATAACAAGCACATAGACATTAATACAATAAAATAAATGCAGTAAGCGTTCATGATATGCACACTTCATTTAAATCAAATTGTAGACACTGTTCATATATTCACTAAGTGTAACGTGTTTTATCATAAAACGAAATAACGACATGAGGAATTGGGGCTAATTTGGCTGGGTATCATTTATGTCAATTCCAACATGATTCATGGCGGCAGGAGATTGTATTATACCGAGTCGACATTCAATCCGATTTACCAGCGACTTTCAGCAGTAATTCCCAATAGGCTAAATCAAAGACTTGTGACGGAAGATAACAGTGCTAACATGATAGGAAACAAATCTACCGAGAGTATGAGTAATCGGTAGTTTATGTATTATACATATAAACTGTTTCAGTCTTTTATATGATTTCTAAAGATATAGGCACATAACGGCCTTTTTATGTTGCTTGCAATGCAAAGGAAATTCAATTGATGACATATACGTGGAGAATGAAGTTAATATTAAAGATAATGGAATGGTGATGACTGTGTCATACTGTGCTGTTCCTGTGATCTATGCAAAATACGTTCTTTCAATACAAATATGTATGAGCTACGGATGTACTGAACATTTGTGCTTGGCGAGGAGAGGGGCTTTTTACAGTCATATTTCTAGTCATAACTGATATGTTATTCATATTTCGAGCGTGGGCAAAAACAGTACAAATCTGGTAATATATGAACTATTTTATAATGCAAGGGTAAGTCATGCTATATATGGATGTCTAGACATGGCTGAAAAATATAAATGCCACCTTATTATCGGCAAAAAAAACATTGTAATATCGCAGTATCGATTCCTTCAAAGCTATCTGGTTTCGTGAGATACACTTGGGGTATGCACATGCGGGAATTACTCATAAGTAAAGGTAAATCTATCCCGTGGTATTGACAACTCACGTGATACGTGTCTAACGCGTTATTCTCATGACCGACGACATACATTTAGCATGGAGTATGGTGTCTTACGAACGGCTTTGTAAGGTTAATTCTATTTCATTTCAAGGCACGTTCAGGCAATCTCGGTTTAATGCTGTATGTGCCACGGGAAAAAAAATCGTGGACTGTGTTTACAATGCCTATGTGAGAGCTAGTAATGTTAGCGTGGTGCAAAAAATACCTTAATCGAATAGAAAGTATATTTTTTCAGCCATTATATTGTCATGTACTTTTCCTATTATTTCTTTGTTTTGTTTTTTATTAAATGGGCAGAATGTTAAAATAGCAATAGATAATGATCAATTGTTCATTATAAAGGTATAAAAGCGGTTATGAAGCTAACTAACAATGAGAATATGTACTAGAAAACACAAAATGCAATTAGAACGTGAGGAAATATGGACGCTTAAATGAATACATTTCAATAATCGCTCCACTTGAACCACTACGGCCAGATGAGTTATTCGATTTGTTTTTTAATTAGCTCGGTAGTGCTATACTGTGTAGTAATTTTGACATAAATAACGCTGTTATGGATGTTTATATTATTTGAACTCAGTGTGTGAATAAATCACAGC